GGATTAGTCATTGGTCCAGTATTCTTTACATCATCGATAGTTCCAGTGGGTCAAATTATTAGAAACAACAGAACACATTTTCCTTGCTATCCATGAATAAATGTGGTCCAACCCAGCTGGCTTTCTGTTTCTCTGCCCTCTCAGACCGAAATTGGTGTTTGAACCTCGTAGTCCAGAACAAAAAAAAGGGGCAAACCAGCTGGTTTCAGAAGCACACCTTAGCTTACTTGGGCTAATCTTGTGATAGAATAGAATAGAATAGAATAGAATAGCAGAATAACAGCATCAAGAGCCCAGACAAACACATGTGCTTCCAGATGCTGGGTAATGTTCTACTTTAGACTGTGATAATACATTCTACTTTATTCTTTAGAAACTGTTTTATTTCTCTGATGTGGCTTAAATGCTGCTTGATATCTTTATTCTGCTGTAAAGACTGTTGTCCAACTACAATGTCCATAGGAAATATTAAATATGTTGAATAAAAACTAAACTATTGGCTATAATTTCTATAACAACTATTTATTAATGTGTTTAAGTGTACTTTACCAGAATGCATTGTGGTTAGGCAGCATCCCTGAAACAACAGGTTTGGTCACTTACACCTTACGAGCAACAGAGGGCAGCAGAATCACATTTTAAATAGATTTTTAAACATTTTCTAAATGCTTTTTTATATTTTTACATTTTTTTGTTTTTGTGAAGCGCCTCGTGATTTTTATCTTGAGAGGCGCTACAGAAATGATATTTTCTTCTTCTTCTTTCTCTTCTTCAGCAGGAGCCTCACCCTAACCCTAAACCTAACCCTTTAAAGGTGTCAGGAAACCCGTCTGAAGAGTTCATCGTGGTTATGATCTCATCTCAAAAACATCTAAAAATGACGTGTGAACTGGATCTAAAAGATGTGGTGGGCCTCAGTGAGGAGAAGACTTCCTCATGAGTCTCAGCTTCCACCAGTGTGCTCTGGTAAGGGAACACACTGGGATCTCATGTTGTCTATACCATCCTTCTGAGGTGGTCTGCAAACTCCTCACAGCGGTTTTGGGGATTCTGTAACGCATCAGGGGATTGTTGAAAACTTTATTGATGGTGGAAAACAGGATTTTGGGCTCTTTATTTTCTGAGATAACTTTGGGAAAGTGTGCGTTCCTTGGATTCTTGACTGCATTAAGACTTTAGAGCTTCTGTGATTTTGGCTGGGCTCCACTTTCTCTCCTCCACCCTGCAGGTCCTCTTCTGTCTGTGGAGAGCTCGGTGTGTCCATGGGTATGCTACTACAGACCATCTTTCTAAGGGTTAAAATCGTTGACAATAAACTCACAGGGCAGGTAGAGGAGGTGTCTTTTCTAAGATTCAACAAAACCTGCAGCCACTTCAGGGGTTAGATGACGTTTGCTCACGGTTTCCACAGAGGTCTCCTGCTGGGTGAAAGCAGAGATATGAAAAACACAATAAGGGTCGGAGACCGCCAAGTCAACCACACGAGTGGACAGGTCATGTAGGACCAAGTCTAGGGTGTGCCCTCTATGTGGCATGTTGGCTAGAATCCATATGAGAATATTTAAAACGCTTGTTGATGAAGGGTCTACAGGTTTATCTACATTAAAGTCGCCTGCTAAAGCGATGCCTTCATAGGAGTTTTGTAAATTTGATAATCAATCAATCAATCAATCAAATTTTATTTGTATAGCACCTTCTACAACATTATCCGAAGCCCAAGGTGCTGAACAACATCATTAAAAGAAAAACATTCTCAATACATGGGCATAAAAGCACGATAAAAACATAAAATCATAAAATAGCAAGCAAACAGCATTACAGATAAGAGATATTGGAATAAGACCAATCGATTAAAAAAAACAAATGTCAGACAAAATAAAATCAAGCATCCGGTATAAAAAGAAGAATAGTTAAAACCATAATGTTAGGGCAATTCAAGTGACCCTAGCGCTGAAACGCAATCAGATAAAAATGAGTCTTTAAACGAGACTTAAAAACTTGAAGGGATGGAGCCTGTCTAATGCTCAGTGGCAATTCGTTCCACAGAGTTGGAGCCAAAATAGAAAAAGCACGACTACCCCTCGATCGAAACTTCGACCGGGGGACCACCAGAAGTTCCTGCTCGGCTGAGCGAAGAGCCCGAGATGGAGCATACCTGTTCAAAAGCGCAATAATATACGAGGGGGCACTGCCCTGGAGGGCCTTATAAATGAGAGTTAAGATTTTAAACTGAGCTCGATATTTTACCGGGAGCCAGTGCAGAGCAGCCAGCACTGGGGTAATGTGCTCTCGACATCTAGTGCCTGTCAGGAACCTAGCCACAGAGTTCTGCACAAACTGGAGCCGTGCAACCGTGCACTGGGCCAGACCAGCATACAGAGCGTTGCAGTAGTCCAGCCGGGACAGGACGAAGGCATGCAACACAGACTCCAGATGAGCTCTGGACAGCAGAGGCCTGATCCTGGATAGTCTTTTCAGGTTAAAGAAACAGGACCTCACCACTGTATTTACATGAGTGTCAAGATTAAGTGCTGAGTCGATTTTAATCCCCAAATTACTGACCATTTTCTTTTCATAGGGTGTCAATGGGCCAAGGTCAATAACAGCACCAGAGCCATTTCTTCTGCCAGGACTAAGTATTATAACTTCCGTTTTGCTCTCATTTAGGTGTAAAAAATTAGAAGCCATCCAGCATTTTATGTCCTTCAAGCAATCCAGTAAAGGAGAAACAGATCTATCCTCCCCACGTTGAAGAGGGAGATAGATCTGGCAGTCATCAGCAAAGAAATGAAATTTCATATTATGCTGGCGAGGGAGGACTCCAAGAGGAAGCAAATAAACTGCAAATAGGAGAGGAGCAAGGACAGATCCCTGTGGCACACCCCAACGAAGTTTCACGCTGGGTGACGTTACCTCACCCATCTGAACACTAAATGTCCTGTCTTGAAGATAAGAGCGAAGCCATTGGAGGGCCTGCCCAGTTATCCCCACCCAATGCTGTAGTCGGTCCAGAAGGACTTTGTGGTCAACTGTATCAAAAGCTGCAGATAAGTCAAGCAATAGCAGAACAACATCATTGTCCATGTCACAGGCTAAAAACGTGTCATTAAAAACCATTAAAAGAGCAGATTCAGTGCTGTGACCTTTCCTGAACCCTGACTGAAAGGTTACCCATAAATCATTTGTGTCCAAAAAGGCAACCAATTGTGAATACACGACCTTCTCCAGCAGTTTGGAAAGAAAAGGGAGTTTTGAGATGGGCCTGTAATTAGCTAAGGTTGTCACATCCAGCCCCAGTTTTTTTAACATGGGATGAATAACAGCCTTCTTAAACGAGGACGGAACCATACCAGAAGTAAGACTGCCATTTATGATTGCCAACAGCAAAGGGCCTATCACTGGAAAGAGTTCTTTATAAATTCTAGGGGGCAGCACATCACAAGGAGAGCCAGAAGGTTTGAGCTGAGCGACCAGTTTTTCCAAGTCTGATAATGTAACAGTCTCAAATGTTTCCAGTGTAGCCTGGAGCGGCTCTGGGAGTAGAGAGTCAGATGGTGAGTTTGTAATGGCAGCTCAAATAGATGTAACCTTATCAACAAAAAAGTGAAGAAAGTCATTACAAGTCCCAACTGTGGGAGGCAAAGCGCTAGAATCAGAGAACTCAAGTAGCGAATTTACTACGGAGAAAAGAGTGCGTGGATCATGAGAATTTTTTTCCACGATATCAGCAAAGAACTTCACCCTTGCTTCCTTAAGAGTTTGCTGGTAGCTAAACAAAGATTCTCTGAATATCTCACGAGAGACTTGGAGTCTGTCTTTCTTCCATTTCCTTTCTGCCCTCCTACAGGATTGCCTGCAGGCCCGAACATCATCAGAGAGCCATGGTTCTGGCCTAGGCCTCTTCTTTCTAATCCTAAGAGGTGCAATTTTATCCAAAATGTTTTTACAAATACTGTCAAATTGGAGTGTAAGCTCCTCTGCATTAAGTGACATTGTGTGTAGCTCACTTCCTTCTGCACATAGGAGCTCACCAAGCTCAATAACCTTTGCTGCATTTAAAACACGACGGAATCTCACATGAGAGGAAGCCACAGCAGGCATGAAGGGCAAGTTAAAATCACATAAAATGGGCGAGTGATCAGAAAAAAACGGGCTCAGTATCTCTACACCAGCAACAGAGAGACCAATAGACATCACTAAATCCAAGGTGTGTCCCTGCGCATGAGTAGGACCCAGGACCCACTGTGACAGATTAAGGGAGCCCAACAGATGTAAAAAGTCTTTGGCGAATGGCTTATCAGGGCAACACACATGAATATTAAAATCACCAAGAATCAAAACATGATCATACTTTAGCATGTTTACAGACAGGAGGTCAGAGAAGTCCTTTAAAAAGTCCACATCAAATTTAGGAGGACGATATATCAACGCCACGAGCAACAGAGGAGGTGGGCCAAGTTCAAACAGGCACATTTCAAAGCTGGAAGGAGGATTTGATGGAATAAGCTGTTTACAGTTGAAGTGAGATTTATACACGACAACCAGTCCACCGCCTCTGCCAGAAGACCTCGGGACATTAAAACAGCTACAACCCACTGGTAGTAGTTCCAGTAAAGCACTCGAATCTAAAGGATTACCTGGATGACCGAGAAACTTCACCAGCGTGTAAGTTCTATAAACTGTGACACACTAAATCTGAAAACCCGCTGCTAAAGGTGCTAAAGTGGAACGGGTTTGGACGCCTGCTGGAGGCAGCCTCGCCTGTATCAGTGAGCCCCGGGGCATCTCCACCAGGGGGTGAATGTGTGTGACTGGGTGAGGTACCGTAGGGGTTCTAGGAGGCGCTATATCAAATACAGACCGTTAACCATTGAACAGCCGGTGTGAAGTGGCTCCGGGGTGTTGATGGTTGTGGGGACACCGGACCTGTACTCGATGTGAACGAGGCTTGACTGAGGGTTGGGATCAGACACGGCGGGCTAGTTAGAACAACAGACACAGTGAGTTCAGTGCTTTAATGTTCTAGTGTACAGAGACAAACACTGGCAGGTGAGATCTCTACAATGGCATCTAAAACATGCCGATACACATGCACATACACATCCCTGCAGGCGGCGTCTCTGCAGGTAAACAAGCCGAGCTTCTGCAGCCCATCAGATACCAGCAGCTACAGGAGCCACCGTGGTCCAGAAACCCAACATGGCATCAGGACAAGGACCTTTATCTGCTGGCTCAGGTGTTTCCTCCATTAATGTGTTAAGCCTGGTTTATACTTCTCTCTGAGCTCCACAATGGAGAGACGCCCACGGAGTGTCGGAAAGATTTTCACACACCAACTTGTGTTCAGGCAGCAGAGCGTTGCACAACAATTCCCCGCCAGGACAGCAGAGGGCGTAGCGCTGTTCTGTGGTGTCCTGCCACCATAACTCGTGTATCCGGTACACGATGGTGTATTTACTAAAGTGTTTATATGTTTCAGAAACTTTTTAACACAGACAAATCTGTCCTTCATCCTCCTCCACCTCTTCATGCGGTCGCCACCTCCAAACCCACGTTTCCCGACATTTCCGTCCACGTTTGCTCCGTATTTTGTACTCATACAGTCGCGGGGGAATAAACGTTCATATTGTCTGACTTTTTCTGCGATGCGTTCTTCTATCTGTTCTGGTCCAATGCTAATTATCTGTGTACTTTTCACCGGAGCCACAGCGGTGCTGGTGACGAATGTACAGGAAGTGGCGTCCTGACCAATCACAAGCTTGCGGCCTCCATCCCTTTCCATAGATATTGTTTTGGGCATGTCTCCGTCACCCTTTGAGCCCGTCGGAGAGCCCTTGTGCCGACGGCGTTGCGTGTCTCCGCGCTGACGTATAAACCAGGCTTTAGATGTTTAGGAACCAGGATGTTGTGACCAGAATTGGAACATGGAGATGAGATTCTGATGTGTTTTACTGAAGACAGAATTTAGTTATTACATGTCAAACTGCTTCTCTGGGGCTGGACCAAAGTTCATGGATTCTTCTGCTCTGATGGTAACAGGTCTGACGAGCAAAGGTCAGGTCGGGTCAGCTCAGTGTAGAACAAAACATGTCAGACTGAAACAGGAAGTAAGTGGTAAAAAGGAACGCCAGCTTGCTAGCCCTTAGAGTTTGGTCTGCAACCTGCGGCTCTGGAGCCACAAGGGGCCCCTTGGACCTTTTACAATGGCTCCTATTGAGTTCTAAATATAGAGATAATCAATAAAAGTGATGGTGTGAGCAGATTTAGAGGCTTGACATGTTTCTATTTAAAATGAAATGTAGCTGGACAACCGATTTCACCACAGAGACTTGAGCAGCGGGTCGTCTGACCTTCTGGGACTCTAGAAGAGACCTGAACTCAAGTAAAAACACATTCCTGTAACATTGTATGTAATGAAGCTATATTCAGACACGGACCTGGGGAGCAGCATAAACGGGTCTCTGGAAGCATGTGACAGTTCTGTTGTTAGGGTGGCTGGGGAGCCCAGCTCCGACTTTTGGATGACGGCTTCACCGTGAATACAAGACAAACCGAAGAGGCTGCTTCAACAGTTCTCTGTGGTGTGTGTGTGTGTGTGTGTGTGTGTGTGTTGTTTCTGGACTATGGAAACCTTCACCCCTCTGAGGCCCAGACGTCCTCCTTCAGCAGACATCATGAAGACAATCATGTCCCCAGAGACGTGTCCTTCACTCAGACTAAACCCAAACAGAGACGGAGACAAACTCCACGGACCGTTGGGGTCGTCCTGTCTCACACATCCGACCGTGGGTAATCAATCATGACTGCTGCATGTGCGCTCCCTGTGGGTTGCCGTGGTAACAGACAAGTGGGTCGATAAGAGAATATTGAGTGGGTGTCTTTATGCCGTCCCTCCCCTCACCTTCCCTTAGGATGGATTTGTCTTGTGAGGAGTTACGAGGCGGAACGGCAGCATCTGATCCGTTTCCTCGTCCTTCTGAAAGTTTAGGCAAAAATAGAAAAAGAACAACAACCTAAGACACAACTGAGATGATCCACGGATGGACATGAAGACGTCAGCTGCATGTGTAAAATAACACCAACCCCCCCAGTCTGGTTTCTGGTGAACAGAGCCAACAGCTGGACGTGTCACATGATGCAAGATGTTTCCAGCGGTTCTCCATCGGTGTCTCTACCAGTCCTAGGGTTATGTTTCCCAGCACCACCAGTTTGTGGCTGGTTCAGACCAGAATCAGTAGTACTCCTCATAGTTCCTGGGGTTGAGACAGTAGAGGACACCCCCACCAAAGGCAAAGATGGTTCCGCCCCAGGCCAGGCCGTAGCCCCAGTTGAACTCGTGGTAGATCCTCAGGTTGATGCTCTCGATGAACTTGATGGGGTAGAGGACCAAGCTGCAGGCCTGGAGGACAACTGGAGAACATGGACATGGTCACCACATGGCATAAAGTCTAGAAATCAACAAAAACATAAAGTTGTTCTAAAGTGGCCGTCCTGCCAGAAGCTCCAGCAGTTTCAACACATCTGCTGTTCCTGAACAGCCTCAGATAGGAGAAATGTAGATAGGTTCTGACTGGATGGAAGTGCTAACTGCTAGTCAAGATTAAAAAAACTATTAATGATCCTGGTTTACCCATCTGATTCAGTCCTCCCAGGGTTAGCTCGTTTTGTCACTAATTTACTCTTAAAATGAACCTCAACAACTGGAATCCAGGTTTAAGGTAGATTAATGTTAACCAGTTAACCTGTTTGTGATTAGTTTTTAATCCAGTCAAACACAACCCTTGGGTTATGGTTAGGGTTATTTTTTCCTGTTTTAAGGCTAAAACACTGTTTTTCCGCGGCAGTCAGTTCGCTGCTTCTGTGCCTGACTGCCTCCCAGCTCCAGACTGTCGGACCACTTCCTTTCAAACACAGAGGTCATCTCTAATGACTCCGGCAGGGCCGTTATGTTTGCTAACGCATAAACAGGAACTGCGTCTTTAGATTTACAGTCGCAGCTTTTCTCAGCTTCAGTGACAATTCAATGACTAAAAGTCAGCAAAAAGTCGTATGATGGAGACAAAATTAGAGCATTAGTGCAATCTTTTTCCACATACACAATAATGAAAAATGAGTGACAGGCCCCGCCCCCTTTTCAATGCTAGAGTTCACCATAGAATCATCATTTAGAGATTAAACAGGAAGCTGGGTTTCTGTTTGAACTGCTGTTTTGGCATATTACAATCACTGATGGTTACCATGGTGACATAACTGGTGTAATCTGTTCTAATCTAACGTAACAGACTATTCTGTTACTTTAGCTGCTGCTGGTTTATAACTCGTGTTAGCTAACATGTAAAGTGATGTGAAAATGAAGCCAGCTCTCTCTGAAGCAGATGTTCATTATTTATGACCCTGCTGATCTAACCACGTTACGACAGAAGCACATCTGCAACACACACACACACACACACACACACACACACACACACAGACATGCGCACACACACACACACATACACAGACAGACACGTACACGCATACACACACACACACACACACACACACACACACACAGAGACACATACACACACACACACACACACACACACGTACACAGACAGACACGTACACACACACACACACACGTACACAGACAGACACGTACACACACACACACACACACACACACACACACACACACACACACACACACAGACATGTACACACAAACACACACACACACATACACACACACACACATACACACACACACACACACACAGACACGTACACACAAACACGCACACACACACACACAGACACGTACACACACATGTCCAACACACACACACACATACACATACACACACACACACACACACACACACACATACACATACACACACACAGACACACACACACACACACACACACACACACACACACACACTCACACATGGTGTAGTGCAGCCTACTGCTTGGTGTCAACAGTCTGCTGGTAGAGCGGCTCTGCTGTGTACAACAGCAGCCCCTCAGTATCAGCGGCGTGGCTGTAGGTCAGCTGTCATTGTTGACGCATCTGATCAAAGTCAGCTCTCCAGCCCTGCTGCAAGACGTCAACAAACAGAAAACCTGGAAAAGGCCAGAAGAGTTTCGACCCTGCAGGAGCACGGAGTGGATCAGGTGGAAGATCACCATGAGCTGCTTTCAGCTCCTATCTGCAGTAATCATCAGTCTGAGCTCCGAGCGGGTGGACGGAGAAATGGGCCAAACCCTGAAGAGATCTATTGATTCAGCCAGTTTCACTGGGACGGGTCTGCTTTTACTAACGGTAAACGCTTCAAAAAGTAAAAAACAAACAAACAAACAAAAACCTGTTTGTGTTCCTTTTCATGACCATGAACATTCAGTGATGGCTGAAGGAAAGACTCAAACGGACTTAAAGCAGTCCGAGTGTGCATGACAGCGAGGTGGATAATGGGTCTCAGTCATCAGGGATGCAGTTTCAGCAGAGGAACAGAATAAATGAGAGGAACAAAAGAAGCAGGCAGCATTTCTGCTCTGCATGCATGAGAACAGCCCCACAAGTTCAGGGCAGGAACAAAAATACACCCAACTCTTCCTGAAGACCTGCTGCTGGCTCCCTGATCAATTCTGTGACTTCTTTGTTTTGTACGCTCATCATTTAACCTGTGAAGCATTTTCTATGTTTGTCCCTCATTAGTGTGAAAAAGCAAAGAGACGTTGTTTTTACTTCCCCAAGCACTCCTTTAACCAGTAAAACAAAGCATCTACCACTGTCAGCAGACCCAGCGTGGTTCTACAGCTTCTTCTGATCCTGCAGCAAGGCCACCTGGACCTGCAGAAGGAACCAGGTCTGACTACTTCTCTGAACATGAAGTGGAAATGTAAAATGTTGCTGGCTGCTGTTTAGGCACCTCCAATGTCACTCTCAGTATTACCTCCTGATGGGGTCCTTGTACCAAGGTGCATTACATACCTTACCTGTGCAATGCTTGTATCAGACGATGCATGTTATGTATTCTTTCACTATGTTGCTTTAAACAGATTGTTTAACATGTTAATGTAATTGTTGATCATATTGATGCATAACCAGCAGATGTCCTTCATAATGACGATTAGAGTGCCATCATCTTCTCGTTTTGTTGTTTCTAAATGATGCTAAACTATGATGGTTTGGTGTGACCATCTTGTTGGATGTTCCTGGTCAATGTTCTAGATCAGAGGTGCAATCAACCGAATGATTGTGAGACATGATTAATATCTTCTGCAGACGCAACAACAAAACAGAAAGGTAGACCGCTTTGAAATGGTTACTAGCTGAAAAAGGGTGACCATAAAAGTCTAGACCTACCAACAGTGGATGAAGGTGCTAATGACAGAGGAAGGGTCAGTGGTGCCTCTAAAGGACTGAAGACTGGACCTTCAAACCGAAGTGAAAGGCTGTGAGGACAGGAAGAGGTTCTGTGTAACAGACACATACCTGGTGCAAGAGCTCCAACTGAACCTCAAGGCAATAACAGCCAGTGGAGTAGGTGTGTTGCATACCCTAACCCCGAGTCTACCTAAACGCTGCTGAAGACCAAGTCTACTTCTTCATGAAAACTAGTTCTGGGATGGAAAGATCTTCAGGATGTTTATTTTTCAGATGGAGAACGCTGATGGTTCCAGAGAGGATCGGTCCTGCTGCTATGGAGACCAGCTGGGACTAACGAAGCTGATGTAACTCGGGAGTAGAGAGGTGGAAACACGAGGTCCTCTGCTTGCTGTAGATGTTCTGTTGCAGATCTCCATCACTGATGCTGAGGCTTTAGCCTTTCGCAGCAGCAATGATACACTCCAGTAGAAATCTGGGTTCAGAGCACCAAACAGAGTTTGGCCTTTTCAGACAGACCTCTGTTCACTTCAGCCTGAGTAAAAACTCTGGCTGTTGCTATGGCAACACACTTGGTTGCCTCATTGTGACTCTTGTTCAGGTTCAGACATCTAATAGGAGTAATGAAAGAGGACTGTTCTACCACGGCAGCGCCCTCATTTGAACCAGGTGTAAAAGTAAAGAAGAAGCAAATCACACTGTCAGCTTTGCCTAATCAGTTAAATTAACTCTGAACAGTCCAGTTTCTGCCTGAGCTACAGTCTCACCTAACCTCTTAGCTCCCTAGAGTCACGGCTCATCCAGTCACGCCGGACGACTCAGGGCTCCCACGCCTACCTCAACCACCTGCTTCTGAACAGTAAAGCCATGCCCCCATTTTCCTTTCAGGCTGGTGTTGGCGTTCCTACATTATGTCACACCCTGTCCTGTCTCCCTGTCTAGTTCAGCTCTGTGTCTCGTTAATTACTCCCACCTGCCTCTTGTTTCCCAATCACCTTAGCTCCCGGTCTTCCTGTATTTAAACCCCGTCTGTTTTGTGTCCTGTGTCGAGTCATTGTTTCATTGTCCTGCGTGTTCATTATTAAATCCTTGTTTTAAATATACCTGACTGCCTGCCTGCCTCCTTCCTCACCTGCGTTTGGATCCTGCCTCCGCTCCACTCACCAGCACATGTGTGACACATTACCTGTGTCAGACGTTTCCCATCGCTAGCACTTCTAAAACTGGGTCAGACAGTGTGAGAACATGACTAATAAGCAAAGTCCCATTAGAAGTCATCACACATCGGCGAATCTCCGCGTTTCACCCAGCAGGAGCGGCGAGCTGCATGGCTGCACTCTGGAACTGTTTGGTGGAAATTGAGATGCTGAATGCTACGAGTGAAAGGGAGGCACAGTTTACTCCCGGCTTCACTAAAGTTATTTCATATCAAAATAAGAAAATAATCAAATTGACTGCCTTGGAGAACTCTGGTGTTAACCCAGTTTTAGTCGCTTCTTCATCTCCTCAGAGGTTTTCTCTGCTTGATGCTGATGAGCTGACCCTTCTCACACAGACTATCATCTTTCCACCACCAGGTGTGTCGTTCCACCTGGGTGTTCTAGAAATGAGAAGCAGCTCGTTGATGGGGATGAATAACTTGTTACAGGTTAAATGCAGTATTTATCCAATAAAAGGCTCCTCCTAGTTCAATCCAAGTGGAGACTTTTGTTTTTTCAGCATTCTGAAATGAAACATTTCTTGTTAAAAATGATGATATTCTTATTATTTCAGCAACAAGTGTCCGCCCATTTCACCCTGAACCATAAAGATAGGGTTTTCAGTGTGTGTGTGTGTGTGTGTGTGTGTGTGTGTGTGTGTGTGTGCGTGCTGACCTGCAGCAAAGAGCATAAGGGCAACGGGAGCGTAGAACCGTCGCCTCGTGCCGATGCACACTGCAACCAGAGCAACCAGGAATGACATCAGTACTAGGGCTCCACCCCCTAGCAACAGAGCTAACGTAACAACCTGCCAGTCTGGAGAGGGAAGGTGGGGGGGGGGGGAGAAAGTAATGACATTTAGTTCAAAAGACCAACAAACAGGTAAGCAGTGTAGGAATGACTGCAACATATCAGATTAACACGGCACATAAAACTCTTGTTAGCAAAAAGAAAAAATTAACAAGCACCTTCCTGCGGTAAGGCGTTTTGCATCACTTCCTGTTTTCAGTGTTGCGCTCCGTGTAGCTGTTCGGTGTTTGTGGCTCACTAACATTGATTACAGTTATTGTAGCACATAAGCATGCTAAAACACATTTTCCCTTGTTCCACCTAGCTTTTAGGGAACCATTTGAGTTTGCATGCAGTTTATTGGGTGTTGAACGGGTTGCTCGTCCAGTTAGCTTAGCCTCAGCACGGCTATGGCTACTTCTGTCTCTGCTTCTCTGTCTCCTATCTCTTGCTCTCTGTGTCAGATGTTTAGTTACTCCTCTACCTCCTTTAGTGATAATGGTACGTGTAATAAAAGTAGCATTTTGTATAGAGGCAAGGGGGTCGGAATTGGAGGCCCGGCTGAACAGCGCCGTAGCTACTTAACTAGCGTGGCGCTAATCAAGATGTTTGACCAAACTGGCCCATGCATTGTAGATTTTATTAATTTATCCCTACAATTTGGCTCTGTACCATCTGTTTTCAAACATGCAGTTATTGAACCTGTCCTTAAAAAAAACAAGTTTGGACTCATCTCAGCCTAAAAATTATAGACCCATTTCTAAATGACCCTTTATCTCTAAAATATTGTAAAAGGTTGTGGCAGATCAACTGATTATTTTTCTGTACCTACACAACTGTTTTGATAAATTCCAGTCTGGTTTTCGTAAAAAGCATTCAACAGAAACAGCTTTGCTTAAAGTTTCCAGTGATATCATGATGGCTGCAGAAAACGGCGAATTAACAGTGTTAGTATTATTAGATCTTTCTGCAGCTTTTCACACTGTTGATCACAGCACCTTAATTAAAAGACTTGGTGACTCACTGGGGATCTCTGGAACTGTTCTAAACTGGTTTAGATCGTACCTTTCTAACAGAAGTTGCAGTGTCTGTAGAAACCAAATCATGTCAGATTCTACCCATCTGTTCTGTGGGGTACCCCAAGGCTCTGTTTTGGGTCCACAGTTGTTTCTACTGTACATACACCCTCTTGGACAGATAATTGATTCTTTTCATAATGTCTCTTATCACCTATATGCAGAGGATATTCAGCTGTACTGCTCCTTTAAGGATTCTGAGATCTATAAACTGTCTGAATTACCAGAGTCTATCAGCTATCACCAGCTGGCTAGAAGATAACTTCCTTCAGTTAAACTCTGAAAAGACTGAATGTCTGATCATTGCCCCTGAGAGAATGGTTCCCCTGATTAGTCTAAAACTTGGTCATTTATCCTCTGCTGTCAAGACAAACTTAAGGAATTTGGGTGTTTTTGACCAATCAATGTCTCTTGAAGGCCACTCAAAAACGTTGGTCCTAAACTGTTTTTATCACTTAATATCTCCAAACTGTGAAGGTTGGTGTCAAAGCATCAAATTGAAATGGTTCTCCAGGCCTTTATCTCCTCCCGTCTAGATTTCTGCAACACACTTTTCACATGTTTTAACAAAAAAGCCCTTGATCACCTTCAGTTGGTCCAGAACTCTGCAGCGAGGCTCCTAACTGGAGCAAACAGAAGAGCACACATCACTCCTATTCTAATGTCTCTGCACTGGTTACCCATTAACTTTAGAATCCTGACTATAACGTTCAATGCTCTACATGGTCAAGCTACTCCCTATATTACTGAACTGTTAAAGTCTTATGCTCCAATCCGAGCCCTCAGGTCACCCCACCAGAACCTTCTAGAAGTTCCAAAGACCAGATATAAAAGTCGAGGTGATCGCTCCTTCCAGACTATTGCACCCTGACTTTGGAATGATCTTCCTTTATCCTTACGTAGCATTGACAGTCTGGACACTTTTAAAAAACAGGACTGTCTGGAGGTTTCTTCCTGTTAAAAGGGAGTTTTCCTCTCCACTGTCGCTGCATGCTTGCTTAGTATGAGGATTGCTGTAAAGACTCTGACACTAGTCAGTGACTCGATGCAACCTGCTGGGTTCCTTACATAGGAAACGTTTTACTGATTGGCTTAATGACCAGGGGTCTCATTTATCAAACATTGCGTAGAATCCTTACTAAAACCGTACTTAAGCACAGCAAAAAAAAAGTACTTACGCCAAGTAGGTTTGTGATCTATCAAACATGGAGTACGCACAGCTGCACGCAATCTCCGCTTCATAAATCAGAAAGTATCTAGAAAGGTTCTCAGCTGCTTTTTAGTCACATCCTGCCCTCACCATGCCCACTTACTCAGAGAAAGCTTTATTGCCATTAATAGTCAATGCAAAGTGATTTATGGATCTCATGCATATATGTTGCAGTGTTCCGCCAATGACATGGTGACCGTAGATCAAGACAGATCAAGGAAGCGCTATTTCACAGATGCAGAAATTGAGGTACTTGTGGGTGAGGTGGAGAAATGAAGGGAAGTACTTTTGCAAAACAAATAATAGAAAATCCATGGTGTGGCACAGCGTTGCTGAAGCTGCCAATGCTGTGAGTTCTTCAGAGAGATCTGTGGCAGATATAAAAAAAATGGCCCCATCAGGATTCGATCCCCAGACTCCGGGGTGAAAGTCACACACGCTAACCAGTCAGCCAAACAGAAATCTTCCTTGTTTAAGTAGCCAGGGCGCATGATCAATTGGGTCACAGTAACAGGACACACACACTGTCACAGACGCATGACATTCTGTCTCAATCTGTCCCCCTGCTGATATTCTGCATTCCGTATTCTGCGCTTCAGGCTGTGTGTGTGTGTGCGCGCGCGTGTGTGTGTGTGCGTGTGGGCGTCTTGTTCTGTGTGAAAACGAAGCAGTACAAGTGATAATTGTACCCTTCTCAGCAGCAGCACTGCAGGTGCTCTCCATGTCCAAAATGTGCGTAAGCCAGGTCCTTAGTCAACTTAAAGTTGAACACATTTTTCCGCTAAGTTTTGTTTCATAAATCCTAAAGTTTGTGCGTAAGCAAGCTTGATAAATGAGACACCTGACCTGTATTGTTTACTGTGTGAAGGTCCTTGAGACGACTCTGGTCCTGATCTGGCGCTTGACAAATAAACTTGAATTGAACTGAACAACATAATTTGTTTATTATGATGACAAAATTAATTATTTAGCTGTGCTGCTCAGTGGTTCATTTTGTTCAATTGATTTTCAACAGGTGACAGATCTGGACTACATTGAGACCAGTTCAAGCTAGTCTCAGACCTTTGACTTGAAGCCCTGAGTCAAGTCCTAAACTCTGAATTCAAACTTTTAATTCCATTACAGTGTAACAATAAATAAATACTTTAAATCAGATTAATTCATTAGTTGTGCTATTTGACAGAACATTTTGTGTCAGATATGGTGTTTGGGTTAGGGCAGGGGTCGGCAACCCGTGGCTCTGGAGCCGCATGCGGCTCTTCCATCCATCTGATGCGGCTCTCTGCTTGTAAAATAATTAATGAATATTTAAATAAAATGCATTTTATTTCACTGCATTCATTTTTATCTGTAACCTATGCCAACACTAAATGTAAAGATTGTCTGTGTAAACCTTAACAGGTCACCTGCTTGTGTGTAATCAGACGTCTCTATAGGAGCTTTCTGAGCTGAAGAGGATGTGAGATTCTGGACTTTTCCTCAGACAGGCTCATGGATGCGTCACCACATTGGAGACAGGAACAAGCGCTATTCAGCCAAAGTTTCATCATCAGGGACATTTTCTTGGTGACAAGTCTCTCTAAGAGACAGGGTTTGGAGAGCACTCGCTTCAGTGGGAGGAATCTTCCCGCATGTCTCTGGTTCTGCGACGCGCTCCAAGCCCCTGATCTACACATCGGCTGAGTAAATCTTCAGCTCGCTGTGCACCTTACGTACGCGCTGACAGCGAGCTGCGCTGAGCTCAGTGTCCAGCTGAGATGTTCTGATGGGAATCTTTTCTTGATTGATGTAGCTACCTATGCGATGTGCGTAATGATAAAAATGTCAGCGCATCTGCAGGCTTGAGGTTTCTCCGTCAAAATAAACAATCAAATTTGGGAAATATCCAGTCATTGTGAACTCTGCCATTTAACCGTTTTGCCTTCTTATGAAGATTGTTGCAAACAGGAACATTAAACAGGATTAACACCAGAGCCATGTGCACTGAGCTGTTATCTCTATCACTGTAAATGAGGGAAAAAAACAAATTGATCGAATCTTTTTCTTATCTTTTCAGCATTGTTTCATTTAAAGTTTCGTTCAGTACAAAGTTTACTTACAACAGTCCAATGAGAGACAGAGCCTGGATTTGTATTCTGAACATGTTTTAAAAGGAGATGTGTGTGTCGCGTCAAAAAGCAACACCTGCTCAGTAAAACCACTAACAGGGCGATAAATATCAAATTATTATAGACACAGATGGGCTACAACTTCTGGATCAATTTTATACAAATGTTTTATTAATTATCTTCTGTTGAAAGATAACTTTGAGGTAAATGAGCGAACGGTATTGGTTGCTGTCACCTGTTGTGATTGGTTAAGGCAGCTCTCAGAGGTTTTAGGGCGGGCCCAAGTGCAAGTGAGTAGGCTCCTCCCACAACATCGTGGTTGCTGCGGCTCCCAGTGCTTTCTTTATTGTGGGAAACGGGTAATGATGGCTCTTTAATGGGAAAAGGTTCCCGACCCCTGGGTTAGGGAAAGTAACAAGCCACCAAATTCAATTCCAAGTTTAATCTCTAGTCTTTTGTGATTTTTTAATCAAGTCCAAAGTCATGAAAACAGCCACTTGAATCCAAGTGTGTTACTAAAGTCCATGCTTTTGATGCGTACACCTGGTTTTGCTTCCTCCCTGGGACCTCTACTGGTATAATGACCAACCTGTTCAGGGCCTCTGGTTTTATGGGGACCAAAGGAAGATCCTT